GGTAGCATATCTGTTTTATTTTTATCAGGTTCAGAACGAATTCCGAGCACCCTGTCGAAGACTTTGAAGAAATTAGACAAAGCTGAAATCTGGTGCAGCCCTTTAACGACCAGAATTTGGGGTTTTAACGACCAGATTTTTTGGTTTATTAGCGACCAACTTTGTCCTTTATAAAAGCCCAAATTTCAGCCTTTGTGTCTTACTTTAAAGTTGCGATATATTGAGCTATAGAACTCCAAAATGGGCGATTCAAAAGGCTAAGTTTTCGAGGGCAACGCATTGGTGAGTTTGGAATCTGATTTGGGATAAATTTTGTGTTTTAACTGCTGTCATAGCTCATTTTTGAGCTCAACTTTTAGAAGGTGATTTCTTGGCCATTTTAGGTCAAAATCTGCTGATTCAAGAGCCTATATTTGGGGGTTTTCTTGAGGATCGTCGTGGTGTGATTGGTTTTAGCAGTCGTACCTTCATTTTTGGTAAATTCTTGTAAATAGCTAATGTCATTGTTGTTGAATTTTAGCGTGGAACCTGGATTTTTGGTTGCATATTTGTGTTGGAACTGTTTCGAGTCCCGAATTGTGTTCCATTTTGGAACATAAGTTTTGAGAGCTGTTTAGGACCTTTATTTGGGGTTAATTCTGGGTTTCTTAATGCAAATCCCACTTTTTCCATTTTGACCGCGTAATTGAATCGTCTCCGTTTCTTGCGATTTTAGTGTTTAAAATGACCGTAATAACATTGTGACTCTATTTTTGATAGTGTATCAACGTTTCGAGGCCATTCAGAAAGGAAAAGCTCCGAATATATGATTTTTAACACCTATGCATGATCCAATAACTACCCTACCCAAATCCCAACTAATCAACATGCATTCACATGTTCGAGTTCAATCTAAGAAGGAAAACCGTAGCCTACCCGAACGCAGATCATGCGTGCTCCAAAAATCACTTCACCGGAGCTTTTCCTTTCTGAAAGGCCTCGAAACGTTGATACACTATAAAAAAAATATAGTTACAACATTATTACGGTCATTTGAACACTAAAATCGCAAGAAACGAAGACGGGTCAATTTCGTGGTCAAAACGGAAAAAGTGGGATCCGCCTTGAGAAATCCAGAATTAACCCCAAATAAAGGTCCTAAACAACTCTTGGAACTTGTGTTCCAAAATGGAACACAATTAGGGACTCAAGACAATCCCAACATGAACATGCAACCAAAAATCCAAATTCTACGCTAAAAATCAGCAACAATGGCGGCATTTACAAGAATTTACCAAAAATGAAGGTCCAACTGCCAAAACCAATCACACCACGACGATCCTCACGAAAACCCCCACAATATAGGCTCTTGAATCACTAGATTCGGACCTAAAATGACCAAGAAATCACCTTCTAAAAGTTTTCCAAAAGTTGAGCTCGAAAATGAGCTATGACAATTGTTAAAACACAAAATTTATCTCAAATCGGGTCCCCCAAATCAGATTCCAAGCTCACCAATGCGTTGCCCTCGAAAAATCTCACAACGTAGCCTTTTTAATAACCCGATTTGGAGTTCTATAGCTCAATATATCGCAATTTTAAAGTAAAACACAAAGGCTGAAAATTGGGGTTTTATAAGGACGAATCTGATCGCTAATAAACCCAAAAATCTGGTTGTTAAAACCCCAAATTCTGGTCATTAAAGGGCTGCACCAGATTTCAGCTGTCTAAAATCTTCAAAGTCTCCGACGGGTGCTAGAAATCCGTTCGGAACCTGATAAAAATAAAATATATATGCTACCCTACCAAAGTCGACATTCCAGACTCAATGGTGCAGTCGAAATTTCCATCAGAGGTCATCTCGATAAAATGTGGGTCCCACTTCCATTGGCCATTTTAAGTCAAAAACTACAAAAGGGCTCGGAAAAATATCAAAAACCTCATAACACGAAAGAAGGGTAAAAACTAGACCAAACTCGACATTCCGAAACTTCTCATCCGAGCGCATTTACTCAGAATGTTAACTAAAGTCAAACTTAGCCTTTAACTTAAAGTTAAAACGCCTAATCGCACCAACTCACACTGAAAACTTCAGGGGTGTCGACCATGATACTAGCCTAAAATGACCCTTCCGGAACTGATGGAATCGTCAGAATTGGATTCCGATGTCATCTTCTTGAACTTTTGATCGAAAATGATCGTTCAAGGTTCATAAGCTCCAAAAACACTAGTGTGTTTGGTATGACGGAAAACATTTTCTGAAAAATGTTTTCCAATTTTCTCATGTTTGGTTGGGACAAAAGTTCTGGAAAATGTTTTCCAAATCAACTCATTTTCCTCAAAATTAAAGAAAATGACTTCCCTTCAAAAATTAAGGAAAACATTTTCCAAAGCTCTCCTCCAATTTTAAATTACCTTTTTTTTTGGAATAACATAAATTTTCAATTTCAAAATTTTATTTTTTCACCGATCTCTGAACACCCTCCCCTCTACCCCCCCCCCCAACACCACCCCCTCCCCAAAAAATTAATTTTACTTTTTAAAAATATTTTCAACTCCAAATTTTTATTTTTAAGCTCCTACCTCCCCCCCCCCCGGCCAGCCCCCTACCCACCCCTACCAACCCCAAAAAATTAATTTTATTTTTTAAAAATACTATCAACTTCAAATTTTTATTTTTTCATTCCTACCTCCTCCCTCTGCGCCCCCCCCCCCCACCACCACCACCACAACTACTCCCACCCCTTATCACCACCACCCAAAAAAAATTATTTTTAAAAAATATTTTCAATTTCATAAATTATTTTGTATTCTAGTAAAACTAAAAAATATTCTTCAAAAATATTTTTCATTCATAAATCAAACACTAGAAATCATTTCCGAAAAATATTTTCTACTCACCAACCAAACATGAAAAAATAAGTCCAAAATCTACCTGGAAAACATTTTCCTTCACACCAAACACACCCTAAAGCTCACACAATAACCAAAGGAACGACCAGGTGACATAATTGTCAGTCCCAGCTAGTCATAAATTGTAATGACCCTTCTTGTCATTTTTAGTGTTTTATCTTCTGTGCATCGTTTAGAGCGTTCCCATAGCGATCCCAAGTCATTTATGACTTGCTGGGACTGACAAATCGACCACCTGGTCGTTCGTTTGGTTATTGTGTGAGCTTTAATATTTTTGGAGCTTATGAACCTTAAACGATCATTTCGATCAAAAGTTCAAGAAGATGACATCAAAATTCAATTCTGACAATTCCATCAGCTTTGGAAAGATTATTTTAGATTGTCGACATGACTCCAGAAGTTTTCAGTGTGAGTTGGTGCGATTAGGCGTTTTAACTTTAAGTTAAAGACTAAGTTTGAATTTAGTTAACATTCTGAGTAAACGCGCTCGGATGAGAATTCCGTCAGAGCGGCTAGCTCCGTAATGTCGAGTTTGGTCTAGTTTGACCCTTCTTTCGTGTTCTGAGGTTTTTGATATTTTTCCGAGCCCTTTTGTAGTTTTTGACTTAAAATGGCCAATGGAAGTGGGACCCACATTTTATCGAGATGACCTCTGATGGAAATTTCGACTGCACCATTGAGTCCGGAATGTCGACTTTGGTAGGGTAGCATATATATTTTATTTTTATCAGGTTCCGAACGGATTTCTAGCACCCGTCGGAAACTTTGAAGATTTTAGACAGCTGAAATCTGGTGCAGCCCTTTAACGACCAGAATTTGGGGTTTTAACAACCAGATTTTTGGGTTTATTAGCGACCAGATTCGTCCTTATAAAAGCCCAATTTTCAGCCTTTGTGTTTTACTTTAAAATTGCGATATATTGAGCTATAGAACTCCAAATTGGGTTATTAAAAAGGCTAAGTTGTGAGATTTTTCGAGGGCAACACATTGGTGAGCTTGGAATCTGATTTGGGGGACCCGATTTGAGATAAATTTTGTGTTTTAACAACTGTCATAGCTCATTTTCGAGCTCAACTTTTGGAAAACTTTTAGAAGGTGATTTCTTGGTCATTTTAGGTCCGAATCTAGTGATTCAAGAGCCTATATTGTGGGGGTTTTCGTGAGGATCGTCGTGGTGTGATTGGTTTTGGCAATTGGACCTTCATTTTTGGTAAATTCTTGTAAATAGTTGCTGCCATTGTTGCTGATTTTTAGCGTAGAATTTGGATTTTTGGTTGCATGTTCATGTCGGGACTGTCTCGAGTCCCGAATTGTGTTCCATTTTGGAACACAAGTTCCGAGAGTTGTTTAGGACCTTTATTTGGGGTTAATTCTGGATTTCTCAACGCGGATCCCACTTTTTCCGTTTTGACCGCGAAATTGACTCGTCTCCGTTTCTTGCGATTTTAGTGTTTAAATGACCGTAATAATGTTGTGACTCTATTTTTGATAGTGTATCAACGTTTTGAGGCCTTTCAAAAAGGAAAAGCTCCGCGGAAGTGATTTTTGGAGCGCGCATGATCTGCGTTCGGGTAGGCTACGGTTTTCCTTCTTAGATTGAACTCGAACATGTGAATGCATGTCGATTAGTTGGGATTTGGGTAGAGTATTTATTGGATCATGCAGGAAACAATGTATTCTTCTACAATCGGTTCCGTCACTAATGCTTTGGAGTTCCAGATTTCTTCTGCCCATACTTTTTCTAATACATATACATGGTCAAGCTATTTGGTTCAAACGAATGTAGCTAATGCAGTAGGTCCCACCCCTAATCACAATATCATCTAATACCTCGGAATTTGTCATTCATACTTATACTGTTCTGACTTGAGCTGGATGAGTGAAATTCTATGACGTAAATAATGACCATGGTCCTATTAGAGCAGATTGGGAAATAGATCTCGATGCTACAAAAATAGAAAGTTTAAATCTTCCCATGTAATTCACAGGCTTAAACCAGAATTTACAAAGAAAAAGAAGATACTAAGGCCACCCACAGAATGAACTGCAGAGCATACATGGTGAAAGTCAATGGACACACAGATAAAGCATAGGAGGTCAAAGATTACCTCATCAAGAATCAAAATAGGGGCATTCTTCAGTAGAGCCCTTGCAATAGCAATTCGCTGAAAATAGAAAGATGGTATAACCAATTAATCAATATAGCTCCGCAAACTCGTGAAGAGGAAAAAAAATGAAAAGCAATGATAAGTGCATGCATAAACAGCATAGCAATTTACTACCTGCCTCTGTCCACCACTCAATAAACCACCACGTTCACCAACCAATGTGTCATAACCCTGTCAATTTCTTGAGAGATAATTAGCAGATATAAGAATAACTATGAAATAGAGGAATGAAGAAGAAGCCTTTCAGAAATGACAAACCTGTGGCATTGAAATTATGAACTCGTGCGCATTGGCAGCCTTGGCTGCCTTTACCACGTCATCCTTGGATACATATTCATCAGGGAGAGCATAAGCAATATTTTCTCCAACCGATACAGAGAAAAGAACAGGTTCCTACAAGCGAGATTTTATGCATGTCAGAAACAAATATTAAGTGATTGCAATGCCCAGGACAATCACTGACATCATCAAGAATTTGATTTCAAGTCAAATCTTCGGTGGAGAGAATGAGCATGAGAATAGTGTCTCACAGATTCAACAGTGAGTGTTGGAGAGAAAAGATCAATACATACTTGATTAACTAGAGAGACAACCCGAGCCCACTCGCTCTTATCAAATGTTCGCAAATCTTCTCCCGCAACAGTTATCCGACCTCGAGTTGGCTGCAAGATCAGGTTATTAGCTGATAAATTTACCTTTAGACCTTCCTAGGAGGACCACAAAAGCTTGTTTTCAGTAATATTCAAATAGAAAATCGAAAGTAGACCTCATAGAAACGTGCCAATAACTGTACCACTGTACTTTTCCCTGCACCACTTGGTCCCACCAGAGCTGTAACAGTTCCACATTTTAGGGTTAAATTAAGGCCACGAAGGATTTCCACATCAGGCCTCACTGGATACGAGAAATCCACATCTGCATGCGAAATATGAAAAACATTATGGTGCATTTTCCATTACTTTTTCCCACTGTCTTTTTCAGATAATAGAAGAGTCCCAGATTTCTGAAACCATAGATGAACAGACAAGAATATGATCTGTTTCTCCTAAGCAAGACCTTTTACTGAAAATAGACCAGAAAATCTTTATAGAAAGATCTACCTTATATATTTACCCTTACAAAAATGAACTAATCAATAAATCAAACTTGTTTCCTATACCCTGTTACTTTTCAATATAAATACTCTATCCACTTTTTCCAGTACTAGTTCCTGGGAACATGCATTGCACATTGATCTCTAATTTTAGTTAAAATATCTTTCACAAAATAATGAATCGAAAAGATACTTTAATTAAAAGCTATATCAAGTGTCAATGAATTAAGTTTGTCAGATAAACTTGGGTTCGTTTAATTTTTCTTTCAAGGGTGAAACAGAGACTACATAACAAAATATTATGTTAGATATCAACTAATATATGCACTTGCGCATAGAAGTTGAAATGCTCTCTGAAATTTCAGCAACAATTTGTTATTCCTATTCAGCAAAGAAGTCTCCTTTGAACAACAACAGTATATTCAATTAATTCATCAATAATCTATAACTATATAAAATCATAATAGACAAGGCAATTAATATAATTATATTTAACAAAACAATTGTGTTGAGTTATAAAATAGGAATAAAACTATTCATCATCTGCTTCGCAATGTGAAAGTCATTGGAACTAATAATGCAAACCTCTTTAATTGTGATGAGAGTGTTAAAATCATATTCAGTCCAAATTAAATGTTTAGTCATCCTAAAAGTTAAAATTATTATTTTTAACAAAAGTTAAATTTAATATGGTTCATATATTAACATTCATGACAAGAAAAATAGGTGAATTTAATTTAAAAAATGGGATCTAAAATAATATAGTCATGCTAAATGAATTTTCTGCTACATATTTAATGGTAAATGCATGTAAAAGTAGGTTCGACACAAATTGACCAAGCCTAGAAGAATACATATATATATATATATGTATCAGAACCTGACTGCATCTTGTAGTGATCATCCTTTAATCCTCATCCTCATATCCCTTCGTGAACCACGACTTCCTCAAGTTACAACACTAAAAAGTTTCTTTATATAACTATTCGAACAAAACATGACTCTTGCTCTTCTTTAATGATCCCAACAATACATGGGTCTCTTACTCTCCTCTCGTACACGGTTTCAAACATATATTTATAGCTCATTTCATGGTTGTTGACATTATTTTTCTCCTTTTATCTTCTTCACCATTACAAAGGAGGATATGTGCACATTAGAAACACTTAAATCTCAATTAGAGCTAGGAAGTTGCATCACGTAAATTTAATGTCAAGGAGAAGGTGCACACGTTAGTTTACTTCTTTTTGGCTTATTCATTATACAATTTAACTAATGATCATTGATTGTCTAGCAAATAAATAACTTACAATCCAAAAATAATTTAAATAATACTATTTAATATTAATTAAATAGATATTTAACTTGGTTTAGGCGTAATAAGATAATCCAACTTTGCATTTTGGAGATTCCCACTTTTAATAATATATATATAGTTTCTCTGTATCCATGCTGAATAATGTAAATACTTCAAAAATTCAAGAATTTCAACTAAATTTTTTAGCCCAAATAAAAATACAAGTTTTATAAAAGAATTAAATTAAAGAACTTAAAGAAAAAAAAACACAAAAAAAGATAGCGAAGAAAATATACAATATACACATTGTTCTTCAGACTTGATTCATAACAATATATACTAGTTCTTGTCGACACCCTCAACGTTAACCCATCAAAATTTAAGCGTTTCTTCATCGAGTCAAACTACATCATGAAAATAGTACAATAATACTATAAGTGTTTCACTACTTAAACTATAGAATGAAAAGTTTACCTTAGGTAGGAGCCTCATGAAACAAAAAAGATAGATTTATATAGATAAAAGTGAAGGAATACCAAAAGAAATCCTAAAGCTTTGAATTAAATATTTGGAGGTTAAAGAATATAAAAAACACAAGAGTTATGGATATCAAGAGCAACAATTAAATACGTAATTCAATTTGAGTTATGAAAGTGAATATCTAAAGCAAATAAAGAATGGAAGAAATAAAAAAAAAGAAAAAATATTAGTGCAAAAAATAATATCATACTAAAGTGGTTTTTCAAATAACCAAATTAGACAAAGAGTCGAACATTTAGAAAATTTGCAGACATATTAATAACTTTTATGAATAATATAATGTTTAAAAATGAGAGAACCCCTCTTTGGGTGCTTTAGTTGGATATTAATAATTCAGCATTCAAGTTTAGGGGTGATTTTAGTTGGGGATAGTATAGTAATTTAGGGGGATAGTATAGTAATTTAGCATTCAAGTTAGTGGTTAGTGAGTTCATGTTTTTAAGGTAGTATGGATAAATAGATATAGACTGATTGATAGATAATATTACAAGCAGCACCAAAATATCAGATATGGCAGAAGTATATACCTTCAAGACAGACATCACCGGTCTCCGCCAAGTTTCGCACACTGCTACCAAATTTTAGTGTAGACATGTATCTTGTTTTGGTAGATTGCTTCTTCTCATGAGAATCATTCACCAAGTATAACTCTAAAGTCTCATCATGGACCTTCTTCTGCTTCATGTCTTTCTCTAAAGAACATGCAAGCGCTTCATCAATTTCAGCATCGGATAAAACTGAGTTAATTCTCTCAGTTGCTGCAAGAGCTGCACGAAGGTCTCCAAAGGTATTTACAAGGCCTTGAACCTATAATGCTTAATATGTTAAGTAGATGATGGAAGATAAAATGGAAAAAAAGTGAGCAACATCAAAAGAAAGGGTGAACTCACTGCGAAAGTTAATGTAAATGTATATCCGATAAATGAAGCCATAATTCCCACTGATAATTCACCCTGCATATGGTATAATTTAATTGATCAGTTAATAGACAAATAAAGTCATATCCTTAGAGGAAGAGTCTCCAGATATAAATTTACCAGTGGATTTTTAAAAAAACCGCCATATGTAAAACTCAAAACTTGAAAACAAAATTACATCTTAAGACGGAAAAACACTTGAAGAATAAATATCCATCTTTTGTTTTTTGAAGGTAAGATATAAATATCCATCACTTTGCTTAAAGTACTTACTGCCTTTACTTTGCTTCCACCAAGGCAATATAAAGCCATCAACGAGATATAAATTGCCACTCTCGTCACTGACTCATGGAAGGATTTGAAGGTCCCAATCTTTATGCTACTACTCTCAAACTCAAGTACCTGTCACAAATACACTCTAGCATCTCTAGAACAGCAAGTATGGAAATTCTAGTCCTTACTAAATCTAAGAAATCAAATAGCCTCTATGTTACCTGGCGAGCAAATACTGACATCTGACGCTTCTCCCCACTAAATGACCTCACCTGCAGAAGAGGCCAGTACAGTCGTATTCATTACCATCTGAAATTTAGTAAAGTTACAGAAGTTGAGGTAAAATCTGAATGGGCTATAGATCATGAACTTACAGTGCGAATGGCAGAAAATGATTCAGTCACAGAATCAGCTATTGATGCTTGGACCAGTCCATGAGCTTGGAAGACATTTACAGTTGACCTCTTGAACAGAGCTAACAAGTTCTTAAACATTAGAAAGGCACACATACAACTCAAACACAATACCAGTCATTACTAAGTGCCTGTTTGGATGGGTTTTTAAGAAGTAACTTATAAGTCAAAAGCTAAAAGTACGAGTAGAGGATACCCTACTTTTGGCTTTTGACTTATTTTAGAACTTGTTTGCCCTAAAAGTGAGTGCTTAAAAGCACTTTTTAACCATTCCAAACACCTCTAACAATAAAAAGTGCTTAAAGTTAAAAGTCAAAAGCACCTAAAAATAAGCTAATCCAAATAGGCACTAAGAGTCTAAAACCCACAAATTATCTACTTTCTGCATTTTCATTTCTACTTATTACTAACTTTTGCTATCATATCAATAACCCATATTTGATATGGTATTTATTTTTTTCTTTTGCGTATACCAAGATTATATGGTCTTGAGCAATATAAGTAATCTCCACATATAGTCAATACAATCAAGCTAATATGACAATTGTACTACAACAACATACCTAGTGTGATCCCACAAATGGGGTCTAGGATGTGACAATAGTAGAATTTATAAATCATATTAATAAAATTATATAAGTCAAGCTGAATATTATATTAGTGTTTTATTATGATTACAACTATCAAGAGCGTACTGAGAAGCTGAGAATTCAACAAAGGTATTACCAATATCTATAATTTATTAGAGTGCACAGAAAAACCAGTAATATCGAAAATAAAATATTTACCAACTAAAATAGACACTGCGAGGATGAGCAAGCCCAGAATTGGTGCAAGTTGGGGAGATAGAGCAAACAATAAGGATAATGTTCCCACCACCTGCATGAAAAGAGAACCCAGCTATGTGAAAGACCATGATGCTAGGTACTCACAAAGAAAACGCATTAAGTGGACGAGAAGAAGGAAAAATAAAATTAATGGACAATGCATTTGAGTGTCATTAAGGGAAATCCGGTAGCTGAAAATTTGGAGTCAAGAAATATGCAATTGAGGCCTCACCGTGTACATTTCCAAAATAAATCAGAAAAGAGTAGTGTCTAAAAAATCTTAAGAACAAAAATATTCGGAAAGGGAACATCAGGAAATTTTACCCAAGAAAAAGAACACTAGAATTGTTCTAATGATCCAACATTGGTGATTGGACTCACTTTGCAATCAAAGAGAAAGAGAGCTGATTCCAAATAAATATAAAGCTCACTTTTGTTTAGTGAGAGTAGCTTGCCTCTGATAGTGCCCTAAAACCACGATCCCGTGAAGTATTCTCACTGACAATATTTTTGAGAGAACCCAGATCAGATGTTAATAGAGCTGTTAATTCACCAACCTGCAAATAGAAAATGTAATGAATAATAGGTAGGCATAGGAAGAGCTTTAAACAAAAATGCCAAATATATGAGTCTTAAGTAGACAGCCAAACTTGGAAGGCCTACGAAAGAGTAAGACCAAGTATACACTGCATACTCCACCCTCCCCGACAGCATCCATACAAGTCATAATATCATCTGCTCAGGGTTATATGATCTCTTATAACTGAAAAAACCAATCAAAAGCTGAAAAACCACAGTGCTCAAAGGCTGCCTCAGAAGTTATAACTCATACTTGCATCAGGTAGATTCCACAAGACATTTTTTAGAAGCTTTAAGCAAACAAAATTCCAAGACAAAACCTTCTAGATGCAGTATACTAACAACATGAAAACTTATGGTTCTTCAGGGAAAAAAATTGTACAGAATCATGAAGTCTTCCTATGCTTTTTCCTTGTTTCTAGTCTCTGAAGAAGGCTATTCAGCAACTGGAAGTATTTGTCTATATTTGAAATAAAAAATACAGAAAGAAGTACATGTTTAACACTCAAACAGAGAATAAATTAAAAACCATTATAACCACAGGTGTAAGAAATTTTCCAGATCAATAAGGCACTTTGCTTCCTTAATAGTAGAAGAGTCTTCCTTTGAAATAAAACATGGATATTGTACAGCAGCATGTGTGAGAAAGCTAGTTCTCTCAAAAGCTTCAAGCATTTAGACCAAGGCCAAAATGAAGGGACCTAAAAAGCAAGCAATTTTAACCGGCACATCCTTAGACCTGAGTAAATAAAGTAAAATCTATTTGGAATTCATACAAGCACGCACGGGCAGGTACGACCTTGTATCATGGAATAGATGGCACAATTAATGAAGTATCATACCTTGTAACGGTCAAAAAAGTCAATCTGCAAAGAGAAAGAAAGGCAAAGTGTTACAAGAATGAGCTGAATGAGCTTGTAGAGTAAATCTTGGAAAACATTTCCACAGCACTTGAAGCCAAAAGGAAGTATATATGTTCCTGTACGGTAATAACTATTTCATATATCAGTTGATTGATCTTCTCCATGCTACAATAAATCTTAACAAACATTTCCAAAGTAGTAGAAGTGAAAAAGCAACGTATGTCTTTTTAGAAGGTAAAATATCTATTTTGTAAATCAATTGATTGATCTTTCCAATTACAAAAAGGTTATAGGCAGTGATTATTAACAAGGTTAGAAGAATGCTACAGTTACCAAGGAATCATGAGAAATAAAGTAAAGTAATTAAAAGATGTGATGCCTTAAATCCATGAAACTAGTATGCTACCAATTCAAAGTTGCCCCGGTCACAGAAGCTACAAATGCATCTTTGGGTTCAACCGTTCAAATGTTGATAATTAATGACTTTAGCCGTCCAAATTCAAGACGTCACTTATAAACTATCATTTTATAACACATCATCATACATCAGGATAAAATTTTGACAGCTACCTAATCTGATTTTAGTGTTCACCTTTTGAATCAGTACTCTCCGAAAAATTTGAGCCCTTAAGCTGGACATAACCTTCTCCCAAATGGAAGTTATGTTCGCCACATAGATAATTGTAAAAATAGGCTCCAGTGTATATAGAAGTGCCACTTTGCTGAGCAGTTCCAAAAGAGGATCTGTTCTTGTTCCAATAAGTACCTCAAAAAATCTTCCTGCAATGATAATCTCAAGATATTGTAAGGCCTACGCAGCATAAATTTTCTATTTAAAACATAAGTTATACTCCTCCAGATTCAAAATAAAAGAAATTATCGCACCTTTTCAATGTTTTAAAATAAATGAATTTTTCAAAGTCCAAAGATGTATTAATCAATTTTTTCCAAAATTTCTCTTTCATGGGATTTTCAACTCTCTAGTTTTACGAAAAGTTTGGGAAGAAACAAAAGGGTAATATTGATAAACTAATCTTTAATTAACTTTCTTTTGGAGTGTATCACACCCCCAATAAACCATTTATTTTGGAATGAAGGGAGTATTATGTGGTTCCATATGCAATTGTATCGGTATCATAATTTTAACTAGAATTTCAAAAAATTTGGCTTAGTGACACCACTCTATCAAAGTGTCTTTTCACTTCTGCTGAAATTTCACCAACAATCTTGCGTAATATGGGTGATACCATCCTAAACTAATATAATTGACTTGTCACTTCTATTTTCTCTGCTCCAAGGGGCTGACAGATTTACATCGAATTGATTTTCAGCATAATGTAAGTAACACACCCAGCATTTCAACGAAAATAAGCAGACAGAAAGGAAATTGGCAACTCAGATCCGAAATTGTCTCTGATAGGTCAAACAACTTTAACGTGTGACACCCAAAACTTGCACCTTTCCTGCAATTAAATAATGCACTCCCAAGTATTCGGTTCAAATTTTGGCTGGAATAGTTATATGGTTTGCATATGCTACTGACCTGTAGTATTGACCACCCCGTTGCCAAACCAAATAATGAATACCCAAACTCTTTCGTACTCAACCTTGTCATTCAAAATTAAAGCGAACTAAACATACTTAAAACTTCTCCATATGTTTGTATTATCTCTTGCATCAGCATGTTTAAGAGAGAAATGTCCATCATCTTATAAACTGTAGAGGTGCTTAACGTAATCTTAAGCTACTCCACATATGGACAACTGGTCTTGGATGAACCATATTCAATAGAAATTGTTTTTTGCATATTGATCTAGTATCCCACATCCTCACTCATGAGATATCTGATAAACTACAAAGATCTATAGTTCTCTACTAATTGCTTTAGAAATAAGGCAAGATGTTAACTATCACAATTATTCATTCACTATCTTTTACCGCTCCAAGCAATGGCGGCTCAGAATTTTTAACAAGGGGATTAAAAAAAAGATGCTAGAATGCGACACTTACCACCTGTTAAGGGGATTCACTAATGTATAAATATACAAAAAAAGTTTTGCTTTATCTAAGCAATATAGGTTTTTATCGAAGGGGATTCAATTGAATGACGATGCCAACAAGTAGAAAAAGTAAACATTTCCACTATCTTACTGTTGGTGGACACATAACTTTTTTTAGACTGAATATTGAAATTTGAATCGAAAAGAATGTGATTTGTGTCACCATCTCACTGCCTTAAAACCTGAAATATCTATTACGAATTACAATTCATTTCAGAAAATGAGAATGTTAGCACTTTATTTCCTCCTAATTACTGAAAATCAATGCTCTTTCTAATAACAAGTAAAAAAAAAAATAGGAGTACTCCTTTTTCAACTTATATGACATTCTTTCCAATTTGAGACGTTACACAATATCTGATACTATTCTAGTTTTATTCAACTGCCACTCATTAAAAGCTAATCAAGTTTTTATCTTCGAGGTAGAGTTTTAATACAATATCATGCGCATTATATGAGTACCTTAAACTTTTACATGTCACATTTTACTTTATCAAAGTCAAAAACTTTGACCAATATTCATATTGGCATAATACATATATTGGATCTTAAATTTGGCTTCAAATTTTAACTTTGACCTTCAAATTTCATAATGCACAAATAGGCACTTTAACTATCCAACTTTTAAATAAATAAACACATGAGTCCTACCAGACAAAATACACGTAGGACACCACTTAGGACAAAAAGTGACATGTACGATGACATGTAGGACATGTGTGTCTATTTGTTCAATGTTATACAAATTTAAGAGTTTATTTGTGCACATCCAAAGTTGAAAGACATAAATGTGATTTGAAGTCAAGTTAAAGGGCACATTTATGTATCATGCCTATTCATATTCATAGTATTTATATGAGAGAATTGCAACTAATAGTTTGAACATTTAAATTTTAAATTTAATATCAAATTGATCTAAGTTAATTTAGATCTAAACATTAGTCAAATTAACTCTAGTGAAACGTGACAAGTAAAGGCGCATTTATGGAGTAATAGAGTATATTACATCTTTATCAAAACAAAATAAGAAAATGCATACCGGAAAGTAAAGGCAGGGAAAGAGAACAAGTGGTGCAGATGACAAGAGAGAAAACAGAAGCAAGGAGCTTCAACTTGTGCCGAGAAACAAGTTTCCATATAAAGCCCCAACGGATAACTTCAATTGGCTGAACCGCGACTAAACTATCATCCGATTCTTCAAATTTAGGGTCGCTTTCTGAAACAAAAGCATCAAAAGCAGGGCCTGTAATATAAGCCGAAGATACGACGGACCGCTTCAGTTTCCGGCAATTAACAAATTGTGAACGAAATGGTTGTGCTGTTGAGATGGAGAACTGAGAAGGTCCATTGGAACGGAGGAGTACCAGCCGGTGGTTGCGCCGGCGTTGTATAGGGAAAGGGGTGAGGGGGAGACCCCAGAAGGTGTTGGGTACAGTAGCCATGTAGTAATACTTTAACAAGTTCTTTAGAAAATTTTCTTATAGATTTTTGATTTATACATAGTGTGCATAAATGGCCAGGAGAAGAGAGAAGCAACATGCCTTCTCTTTATCCGGCCTGAGTCCCCAAATTCCAATTTGTCGTCTTCTGTTTTTTTCTTTTTAATTTAGGGCTTGTTTGGTAGTCTATAAGAGTTATCAAGTATCGATAACAAAGAAACTAGTTGTAAGAATTTATGTGCTATAAAGATTAGGGGTGGGCGTTCGATTTGTTGCTTCGGTTTAATCAAATTTTGATTCAGATTTTTGGTATTCAATTTTATAAAAGTGTGCACCATAATTTATACCAAACTAGATCGGTTCAGTTTGATTTTTTCTACTTCGTTTAGTTCAATGTTTTTAAATTGATTTTTCGTTGTGAATAAAAATAAAGAGGGAATATGATAAGTGTTAAGAGTTTCATCATGTATTTAATAAAAATAAAGAGGGCATAGATGACTTTTTAGCAAAGATGCCAAAGGATTTGTTTTTGTTTCTTAGCATAGATGGTTGTCATTTTGTTAAAGCCTAAAGGCTTTTTCCCATCACCGAAATGTTGAATGAATAAAGAAGACAATAACTAGCCTAGCAAATACGATGCCACAATTAACTTTTGAACAACCAAAATATAAGAACTCACAATGTACAATTGTACATAAACAACAATAGTTCAACACATTATTGACATTATATTTGTTGTCATTTAAAAATTGAAAATTTAAATGGATCATGTAAATATTTTGAATCAAAATTCAAAAGTACATAACTATTATTAATTAAGCAATATAATTCAAATATTTTAAGATTTAGTAAATAAAACTTCAGTTCTTCGTTGCGCCGTAGTTTCAGGATCCTTGCACCGAACTCCGAATCGAAGTTTTGAAAAATAAAATCGGCATCAAACCGAAACACTGAAGAGGGATGCCTCTTTAGTTAATTTGTGAGTCCCACTTTACTCACTACTATACATCTGTGGAAAAACTGTTGGGACGCGTCCAGATAAAATAAAAAGACAAGGCAGATACCGGACGACAAGGACAATAAACAAAAGAAAGAGCATCATTTCACGTGACGATGGGACCCAGAAGCGCACCCGGCTGAGATGATATGATTCTCTTTCCATTTGAAATCCAGAGTTTGAAGTTCGAAGATCTCAATAAAAAAGCAGACATTATCAGTTGAGGAAGATACGAACAACCCAAATAAGAGAAAATCACCCAAAATATATACATGCCAGAAATCTCTCCTCAACAAAATCCTTAGCATAAAAAAAAAGAATACTGGAAACTTATGTTGATAACTATATAAAGAACAACGGAGTGAAGAAGTATCGAGTAGGACTTTACAACAAAAATTTGAACATTCATAGTTTAACTCTATTGAAATAATCATTAAAACAATCCCCCCATAGTATATATATATATATATATATATATATACACGCATTAGTTAATTACAATGGATATGTCATTTTTAATATGAATAATTAATTTATAATATTACTCATTTTATAAAATTAATGCATAAATTATAATAGTTTTCATATTATATTTTTAATAATTAATTAATTTTGAAAATAGATACTTGAATAATCTAGGAAACTAAAAAATAATTAATGATCATTATAATTACTTCATACATTGATAATTACTTTCAATCATTGCACTACTCTATAAAATTTGAATTTAGAAAAGAAATTTTCAATAAATAAATTAAAAACAAAAAATGGAGAAAAAATAAAAAGATAATCTTAAAAGTTCAAACTTTATCAAGGGTAATTTCATCATCAATAACATCATACTCAACAAATATATTTAGATCAATTTAAAGTAAAAGAAATTGAATATTTTGCAATATTGCCATGTTTGCTCTAAGATTTTATAATAAATTATACATAATATATAGAAAAAGTGAAATGATATTTTTTTTTCTCCAAATTTGAATCAATTAGTATTGAAAAAATTTGGCTCAAAACTCAAAAATTTATTTCCTATGTGATTTGCGAGCTATTACATAGGAGCGAGATTTTATCGTGTGCACATCCAAAAGAGTAGCGGCTGCGAATTTCCCTTAAAAAAAAACCTCAAAAATTTAGATAATCATTCATTTTGAATCTATCATATATATCATTTATAAGTAGTATAGAAAAATTGACTTCAAAAAGACATTAAGAGCATGTTTGGAAGGACACCATCATAATTGAATTTGGTGTATTATATCATCTATTTTGTTTGATTGGACAAGGTAATTACTTGATCAGCAGGTAAGTAGTGTAATTGGCAGGGGGTAATTACACTCTCCCATTTACAATCAAGAGGTGAATTGCTGGTAATTACATCGTGTAATAAACAATTGATTACTTTTTAATTTTTTCAATTCCATTTTTAATTTTTTTGTTTTTTATTTTTTTTCACTTCTATTATTTTAAGTTCTATTTTATTTTTATTATTTTAAAAATTTATAAAAGTTGAGTTTTTATTTTGTATGATTATATTTCATTTTCTTCTCGTTCTCAACATTACTTCACGTGATTTTATGCACTTTTTCGTATTATTTATTTCTTTATGTCATGCTTATTTTCTCATTAACATAATTTTATCAGTATCCTAATTTTCAAATTAAAACATAGTTTATTACTAAGTAAGATTATAGACTTATGTTTTTTAAAAAATAATTAATAAATCATATTTATGTATGCTATATTGAAATTCGCTATAAGAGTTTTATGTTAAATTTTTTGTTTTGAATTTATAATTTTATGTCATATTTTCAGTTTCATTTGTTTTAGTAATATTGAATTCACATTGCAAGTCAATTTTAAATTAGATTTGATAGATTATCTTTTTGTCGAATATTTAATAATTTATGACTTATTATTTATATATTAATCTTTTTTATCAAACATGCATTTCATGATGTTCATAGAAATTTCATACTTTTAGTATTTAAGACCATCAATTGAAATATATTAACTTGAAAAAAAATATAAATCCATATTTTTTTCTTCATAATATTAGTTAAGAACATATGTTTATTAAGTAATATATATTAAAAAAAGAATATATCTCTTAAATATTTAATTTAATATTATTTATAAAGTTCCTTATTTGTATAGTATAAATTTTAAATAATTAGTTTTATTTGAAAATTTTAATACAATTTTATGATTATAATTGTGCATTCAAACACAATATGTGTAATTATATTGTGGCATGTCATGTGTAATTACAGTGTAATAATATTGTGACAACCAAACATGTCAGTGTAATTACAGTGTAATAATATTGTGACAACCAAACATGTCAGTGTAATTACTAGACTGTGTAATTACTAGGCTGATAATTACTGCCCTAATAATTACATCAATTTCAATTACCAAGTGACTTTCCAAATATACGCGGCATAATTGTAAACTTACTCAATTTCTTAATGCAAGTGAAATCTAAAAATGTGACATATAAAAATGAATGGATAGTATAGATATTAGTTATGTGAATCTCTAAATTTACGCTCAACCATAATATTAATTTTATATAGAAATAACGTATTTTCCAACTAACTACTAAATATGACATCACTAAGCAAAATTTAATATATGCATATATAAGTCACCTCCAAACCATCTACCAAACAATTCCTTAATCATTAGGTAACAAAATCTACCTTTCTGCCTAAAACCTTAAATTTGGACATTTGAAAACTATATCTTATAACAAGTTGCGAATTAACAAAGTCTACCTTTCTTGTAGGATATGTTTGATGATAGTTTGGACTTTGGCACACCATACATATTTTTTCATTCATATCAATAGCTGTTGTAATAATATTTTGATAGTTTCTTCTCATACGATTTTTGATACTATCGGTTATCATATTATTTGGTTACATTGTTGCAATTGTTTTTGTTTCTAAATGTTTGTTTTTATCAAACTTGTATGTCCTATTTATTTTGTATTTTTTAAAATAAATATTTTGAATATTTGTCTAGCAGCTAAATATAACAATCTACCTATAAGGTGTTAGGATCGAATTCACGCACACACACTTGATAAATGAAGAATACAAGAATTTTCAAGAGAAAGAGATGAGAAATCTAGAGAGAGAAAGAGCAAAACCAATATTTTGTGTGGTAACACCCCGTGAGTAAACTTCCACGGCGGTGGTGTATATATATTAATAAATCAAAGTATTTTTGGTTACAAAGAATAAATGGAGAATAAACAGTACAACCTAAAATTTAGGTCGGGGCGCTGCCCCGAACCCCTCCTTCAGATGGGGGGCGCCCCTGGCAACCTCACCGCGAATGTTAAATCGCGTAAATAATAATATATGACAGTACATCAAATATTAATCAGACTCCATAACCTAACATAAGGCAAAACATGACTCACGTAATACCAATAACACAAGGAAGTCTTCATGAAAAGAATAACTGTCTTGAAGGGCAACTCAAAAATAAGCAAAAAAAATTAATATGAAGTTTCATAAGCAAAAATGTAGGCTCATCAACTGTCTGTTTGAATAGCAAATCTCTCATAAGCGATGGGATATTTTCTACTTAACAAACCATAAAAAATGATGATATATCTAAATACTGAATACTCAATAAATGTGTTGGGACAAAATTTCATTTAAACAAAATAGTCACACTAATAATGCTAACTTACTATAATAAAACAATAATTTTAAATATAAATATAATGAGCTAAAACGAACATATAAGGATTTATGCGCTCAGGTGCTGCAACATTGATTTTAATTGTCAGCAGTGTACACATTTTTATTTTATTTTTTGAGAGGATGAACTTGGCCACACTTGAGAGTATGAATACTCTAGAAGCTCACTTGTTCAAACAATGTCATTAATATTATTACTTACATTTTTTTTTAAATTCTTATATATATAATAATATTTAAAATATTTAATGAAGTTAATATCGATCGATATTCTTTAATTGTAATCCATTATTATTACATTGTTGCATCTATTTAATAAGTAAGACACGTATTACCTTCGCCTTTTTTTAGTCTTTAATTTTTATCATCGTTCTTAATTACTTTTCTCAA